TCTATCCAAGATTTCTGTGCCTGCAGAGATGAAGACACAAGGAGAAGGTCAGTCTCTTTTTTTTTTCGAGCTAATCAAGGTGTAACCTGAACAGACAGCAGCAGAAGAAACACCACCCAGTCTGAGATTGTTTTTTTGTACAATTTTCAATATGCAGAGAGTAGAAGGCTTCCATAACATTAACAAATTATTTGCACCAAAACAATACAGAATTAATGTTGAGGAAGTAAAATATTGAAACACATGAAAGAAAATAAACGTAATATTCGAAATTGAGTGAGATGTAACGTAGCTTGTTAGCTCCCACCCCTTTGATTGAGGGTGGAGTGTACAGGAAAAAAACAAAACTGAAGCAGTTTTGTTTTTTTTCTTTACAGAAAAGGACAAGTTCTCATGCAAGAACAAAGACAGTTTGTATTTCTTTGTAAATGTTCCTTTTTTGTTTTTGTTTTTTTTTTATTTCAGAAAACCATAGCCAAAGAAAAACAAGTAAATAGACACATAAACATGTGAAAACAAAAGTGCTGTGGAAACGGTCTACAGTTACAGAGATAGAGAGCAGACATATTTCCAACACTGAGGACACGGTGATAGAAATGCTTTTTGTTATTCAGTGACTTCAAACCAAAGTGGCTGAGATGAGGAGCTAGAATAGAAAGAACGGATGTTAGATGCAGTGGAGCGTTAAATAATGTCAGTGTTCCACTGCTTAGATTCTTTTTATGTGTGGTCAGCTGGGCATGTGCATTTGTGGGTGAACATTAGCATTTCTGTGTGAGGGTTTAGAGAGGAAAACATGTCTATATTCTTTTATATGTGCCTTTTTTTATAACCAGAGCTCAGTGTATAAACTCTTCCCTTTTTCTGAAGAAGTTCTAAGAAAAAAATACAAGGACAATGAATCCAGAGTGATATCTGCTAAAGGTGTGAGAAACAGAACAACTGACTGGAGCCAATTATTCTGTAACAGGCACAACCAGGAAGACAGCGAGGAGCCACTGACTAAGTCAGGGATACACAAGCACTACATGTGAAGGGGAAACTAATGGGGAGGTGAGTCAGGAACCAGTGTAGAACTTCTTTAAGTTTCTCTTCTGCAAGGGTCAAGTGTCAATAAGAAACTGCTACACATTTGGTGCCTCAGTCAGAAGAACGATAGTTAAGTTTCTACAGTGAACCATCTGGTGGTGCATTCAAAATGAGCTTAATGCAAATCTTTCCCTGATTAGATTTTATGCAAATTTGATACATATCACACAGTGAACACGGGACAAATGGATATATTAGACAATATGTTTGCTTGTTGTTCTTCGCCTACATCACAAGACACCCCTCCTTGTCCAAGACAATTGTACAGAGGGTAATAGAGGGGAAGCAAAAAGAAGCAGACAGTTAAATTCCTGGATGGCAAACTTCAAGCAATGGGCTACAGCTTCCAGATCTTGCAAAGGCATCCTCCATGTTCCCCCTAGGTCCACCGAGGCCATGGCATCAATGAATGAGTGAATGAATGATAGAATACAGTGTCAAAAGCATGCATTCTGTCCTATGTGTCTGTGTGAGCATGAGCTTCATACAGAGGCCCAAATACCGTTTTTTACTTCAACGTTTTGCAGGGAAGGCTAAAAATGTACTCTGTTAAAATGAAACACTACTTTAACAATGCGCCATGTTATGATACTATGTCATGGTACTGTCAGATTTTTTGCACTTGAGCTTGTCTAAAGGAAAAAGAGGTGAAGAGAAAACTGTCAGAAAACTGTGTTCACACAGTTTTCTGACATTTTTGAGTGGAAGATGATTGGGACATCTCACAACCTGATCACCTGCTAGGATTGTCCTGCATTTTTACCCCTGGGATTTTTACAAAATGGTCCAAAGAGTGCTACAAAACAAATACAAGGGCTCATCTATGACTTGTGCTATTTCTGAGAAACAAACAAATATCAGGTTTAGAATTAAAATAAAAAAAAAAAAGCTACTGTACACTGCCATGCATCTATATATGGATCAGGGGAGAGGCGGTAGTCCCAACCTAATCAACCCTAACCCAACAACTGTGTGTGTGCTCTTGTATCAAAAGAACTGCTACTAGAACTGCACACAACTAGAAACACACACAAGAACCAGATCAAAAAAAAAAAAAAGCCAATGGAAATGCTTAAGCAGAAAAAACAAAATGACTGAGTGTTTTTGTCTGTCTGGGAGAGCTACCCAGGCTCTTCTCCCAGCCAACAAAGCTTAAAGCTGCTTGTACAGGGCTTTCCTCACCACTACACCACTACAACAACACTCTCAGTCCACCTGACTGGTCCTGTCACACCACAGCACACAAAAACCCAACATAGCCTGAGCCTGTATTCAGGTTAAACTTATCCTCACACCAGATATCCCATATTAAACCATGACACTTCAGGTTTAGCGAGTGATGCTGACAAAGGTCATCCTGGCCATGGACACCATGAACCAGCAGGACACATAAC